ATCCCTATATATTCTATTATGACTTATAGAGGGTATCCCTATATACTTCATAATGGCTTACGAAGAGTACCCCTATTTATTTGATAATGCATTGAGTTATATAGATACCCAGTCCGACTGGGTGACCCAGTCCCCAGTTCTGCACTGGCACTGGTGCATTCCTAACCACGATTTATACGAATTACAAGGAAAAATCTGTCCAGTACCGATTCATGATGCCAAACTTTATAAGAGATAATATCATTTATTTTTAACCTTGTTAGATGTCTAAGCAACACAAAATACAAATGACTTCAATTCATATGAAGTGTTATAGTTGGTTTCGACCATTTTGAACAACTTATTCTTTTATAACCTCTTTATATCAAGATGAGAACAAAACAACATAATAAATAAATACTAATAAACAAAATACGAAAAGTAAAAGCGCAACATTCATTTTCGACTGCCACATACTCTTATAGATAGGATGACTAAATCGAATAGTTGTAAATTCAAAATTTCTTTGCTATTTATTCTTCTTAATTCGCATGATCACTATTATTCTAGAGCCTCATGACTTCCACTCAAACGCCGACAGTCAACATCTTGAACTTTTCAACCTTATCTGGCTTGATAATAATCCTGACATTGTAGTGAAACAACATACGGAACAGCAATTACGGTCGATTATCAATAATTTCCAAAAGTTCCAAGATGTAGCAGAATGTCAAAAATCTATTAAGCAACGATCAGAAAATGATCGAATACTGATTATTGTTAGTGGTCGACTTGGAAGAGAAATCGTTCGTTCTATTCATAAACTTCGACAAGTTATATCAATCTATGTATATTGTATGGATAAGAAAAGTCATGAGGAATGGGCTCGCAAATTCGTAAAAGTAAAATTTGGTTGAACGATTTTGGCATAATTTTAGGATATTTTTGTTGATAGATAAAAGCTGTTGTTGTTAGCCTTGATGAACTTGTTTCTCGCATTAAAATGGATCATAAAATCCAGAAAACGATGGAAGAACCACTGTCAGTCAATGTTTTTGATACCATTGTCGGTACAGGTACATCGATAAGTGGTATAAATGGTCAGTTTATTTTCGCCCAAGTTATCATGGATTGTCTTCTACGGCTGAAATATACTCAGACAGATAAAGCTGAACTTATTGATCGTTGCAAAGCGCAGTATGAAGGTAATATTGAGGAGTTGAACAATGTTCTTGAATTTGAAAAGTATTATTCATCTGATAAAGCCTTATTATGGTACACACGAGAGACATTCTTGTACAAAACTGTTAATGCAGCACTGCGAAAGCAAGATATTCATATGATATTTTTATTTCGTGAATTTATCTCTGATATTATACATCAATCGAAATGCTGTCCAATTAAACACCCTCTACGAGCTTATCGTGGCCAAAGGATGTCAATTGATGAACTGAAAGCTTTGAAAAAAATGTGTAGTCATTTTATTTCTGTGAATTCATTTTTTTCCACTACTACTGATGACCAAAAGGCTTGTGACTTTCTCGATCCTTCCAATACTGCAATCAATACTGAGCCAGTATTATTTAAAATCGATGCCGATCCTGAACGGGTTCCTATAAAACCATTTGCCGATGTCAGTGCTCGTAGTGAATATCCTGGGGAATACGAAATACTATTTATGCCTGGATCTATTTTTCGTTTGGAAAGCATTGATCGCAGTTTCCATGGTCGAATATGGGTCATCCAAATGACTTTATGTAATGATGATGAACATGAATTTAACAATGTGTTTTTATTTATGAAACAGCAATCTGGAAGTGGAGAAACAAATCTTCACACACTAGGAAAAATATTACGGGACATGGGTAACCATGTTCTAGCTGAAAAATATTTTAAACGCTTCATCGAACAACTCTCTTCTGAAGATATTTTACTTGTTGATTTATATAAAGATCTTGATAAACTTCTATCTCAGACCGGTAAATGGGACGAAAGTAATGAATGGCACAACAAAGCTTGCACCCTTACAAAACAACATTCATTAATTTCCCGCTCTAGTATTGATATGGAAAGCAAGTCTCTAGGTAGGTCACCAACAGAAAATACATTATATTGAAATAAATGTCCTATGTAAAAGTTATTATTTTGTTCGAAAAAAAGGAATTGTAAAAGTTCAGGTGCCTGATATCAGTTGTTTTTTTTTTAATTTTTTCGTCACCTAATATGGTATTTAAACACATTTTATGATATTACTAATAACTATTGTCCCCATTGGAACCGTCTGTAAAGGGCATTCAAGTAAAAATAAAAGTTTTTAAATTCTGTTTTTCTCTCTGATGGAATTTTCTGTGATTCATCGAGCAACGCTGTCTCCCGGATACTCAATGTAAAGAAATAAGCTTTTCAAGAAAGACATTCATATACCAAGAATAGAAACAAATAAACACATATTTTATGAATAGCTACGCTGTAGTTGTGCCGACTGAGGTCGTTACTTCATCTATAACTCACAAATGATGAAAGTAGATATGCTAGCGAAGTAGGCACTATTTGAAAATTAAGAAAAATTCCCACTATTTTGCATCTGTTTTCTCTATTACCTCAATAGGTATCGGCGACGTTTTGGTGCATAGATAGCTCTTAAAATAGAAACGTTTGTGTTATCCGAAAGAAAATTGGCATACATTTGGCACAAATTGTAGCTTTCATTGCTAAATTAATGGAGTTAAAATGTAAACTGCCCTAGGCTTTCCTACTAGGAGATTTTCGATTTTTACGTTATCCATCGTTTAAGTATATAGGGAGAGTATGATAATTTTAATGATATTCTTATAAAATTGACTTAGTATTTTAATGGTAGATTTCAAGAATCTTCCTTAAACATATCACTAGTGTTACGATCACATTAGTTTCAATATCATCTGAAACTTAAATGTATCCAAATGAAAAAAAAGGATACGTGATGCGTTGGAAAAATTAGGAAATTACAATCCATTGATGCATAATTGGGTAGTCTAATAGGCTGTTTAAATATTTATGTAATTGCTGATCGACATAGATAGACAACATGAAGATAGTAATCATGTGCTTTTTCTAGAGGAGAGGGTTTTAAAAAGGAATAGAAATTCAATATGTGATTAGTTCCTGTTAACCATTTCTTTGCAATTGATATTAAGAATCAAAAAGAAATATACTATCCAATAACTACTCTCTGTTGTTCTCCACTTTATATATCGTATATAAAACGGTTTATTAAATCAATTAAAACATTATTTTACTGAATATCGCTAAACACTTTTTCTATTTGACTCAAACTGAATATAGTTCTGAAAATTCTCTGATGAGTACCGATAAAATTTTAGCTTTAGACAAGTTGTTTGAAATTTCGAGAACATTTAAAGATAGCTACTTCAGTGTACTGTATACTTATGATACCATTGAATTCTATGACGAGAGCAATAATTCATATGAAGAAATGCCTAATGAAGAAGAGAGTGATGATAAAATTGATGATTATGATGAAAATGACGATCACAGTATGACAAGTCGTTTTACATTATAAGAAATGGCAATCATCATCGAATGTGTTAATCATCATCTGAACGCTGAACGCTGAACTTGTAACTATTTCTGATCAACTTAGAAAAATCAAAACTATGAAGTATATTACAAAATGTATAGAATATATTGAAAGCAACGACACACACTTAAAAAATCTAAACAAATTAAAGAATTTATCTTGAGCGAATTTCATCTGAAAAGAACAAGTGAAAAAGAAGTCATTCACGTTACTAATCTAGAACTTCACGCAATTTATAAAGCAAAAGAATTACATTGCGATGGATTCGAGTTAAGGGCAGAGAATCTGGAAAACGTGAATTTAACACTTACACTAACTATTTGCTTAGTACATATATATGAGTTCCACAAAAATAACGCAAATAATCATAATTTTTCAATACACTCAAACTGTTCGTACCGTAAAAATCGAATATCTCACTGTAGACTACCCAATGGTAGCCAATAATTTACTTCGGTTAGTTTAAAGGTAAGAGCTTTAATTTGACCCGAATATGTGCCACTTTTTTTTCGCGCAATACTAACACTGTAAGTGTTAGTATGTTTTCAAAAATTGCGAAGGCACAGGACTTGGAAATATTTGGACAATACCTCTTGAAAAAACATTTAACGGTCTTTCTACATCCAGATTCTAGATTTCTGGAGGTAAATTTCTTCGATATCATGAAGTAATTTGAGATATCTGATTCAAGTACTTCCAATGCTCGAATCTTTGCAATTTTCAAAGGAAAACTATGAGCAATCTATGCGCAAAAAATGAAGCATGTGTCTATCCCAATAATAGAGAAAAGGTGTACAAATTAGTGAGTTCACGTATAATTTTCAAGTACGACCACTTTTGCTAGCATATTCATATCCACTACCATCCTTTTCAACAAATGGAAACTCCTTTTCTTTTTGTATTACTGCCACTCTGTATTAGAGACACACCGGAAGAAAGTTTCTTCCATGTGTAACAGATGGTCATGGTCTTTTCAAAAGTTTCTTTAGAGCTCTAGAGGATTTTTAAGGTTCTAGCACTTACACACCTGGGTGTTAGTAAAAAACGAAAGTTTTTTTCGTTTAAATTCCTTGTTTTTAATAAAAAAACACCTTTGTGGTGCTTGGCAACGAAAAGTGCCCATCTGAATACCAAAAATATTTTTTTGAAAATTCATAATTCTCGCGAAATATTCTACATCAAAGCTAGCCCGCATTAGGAGACCATCTTTTGAGAAGCAATCATACAATTTCGTAATAGAAAGCCATATTCTCTCATTCTCAGTGCGAAAGGGAGGAGTAGATTGGCGAGTTAGTTATTTCGGAAGAACAAAATATAAGACATCTATTTTGAATCGATTGTTAAACTCTTCAGAATTAGATTCTTCTTTTCCCATCACATATGCTCTTCCTGTTCTACGGATAGATCTTGCAACTTTACCACGTCACTTTCTGAAAGTTCTTTAATTTATATAATTTATAATTTCTTGCATGAAACTTAAATTGTTGGTGGATATGTAGGGAGTCCATTCGGTCTATCATTTTCCTTGGAAACAATAAAAAATTTCTGTCTTCTTCTTTTATATTTTAGGCTTAAGTCCTTTCTTCGCATTTTTTTCTATGTTTTTCTATATGATGTTACATTATTTGTTGCTTTTTAAATGCTATCGATAAAATCCAGAGTCCTATACCAATCCTAGAGATACTAGATGGGGCTCTAGAGTCAAACCAAGGACACCATTTGAGCTACTCTATCAGTCCAAAACACGATGCCCGGCGTGCATCAAATAATTGTTTCGATTAGTCTACTAAAAAATCGTTAGATTACATGTTGTATATCTATAAATAATGCAAACTTGACAGTGGCAACTCGTGATTCTTTCTTTTCAGTGCTTTCAAAATGTGAGATAAAGATAGCCCTTACTGTATACACAGAGACGAGGATTAGTCGCCGCTCTGTGGAGTGGAGTGCGCGTAGCGCTCTCCCCTTCTCTCATACCGAGACGCTGATATAAAAGGTCAGTTACACGGGTCAATGTTTTTTAAACCTGTCATCGGCGTAATATTTTAGTTTTTTGCTTTTCATACATCTTAAGGCTTGTAACTGATACTACGAAGAAGATATGTAGGAAAGAGAACGTAGGAAAAGGACGCACATAAAAGGACGTATAGAAAAGTATCAACAATAAAAGAATGTGCTGAAAGGACGTATAAAACAAATATAAAGAAAAGTATACATAGCAAAATGAATATCAAAAATAACGTATTTGAAGAGCTGGTATAATACCGTACGATGTTACACGAGATTTAGCCGTATTTTAGAGTTGTTTGAGAAAAAGTTAGCTGTTTTTCTGTGACCGTTTCCCAAAGAAATCACAAAGCGAATTATATGGCATTATCTGCACTGAATTGATCATATAAGTCCAGAGGGTAAACCGCTTTTTTCTCTATTTTCAGAATGACAGGTAGATTTTGAAGAATCTCTTTGGTTTGAACTCAGGTTTCACTTCAAAGGTACATTCAAAATTTGGAAAAGCCAGTTTCCCCAGCTTTCGAGATAGTTTATTTAATCTAGAGAAACTTTATAATTTATAAGTAAGAAGTTGTATCCTACTCATGTTTTTATTTAGAGTTTTATATTAATAGATAGATTTATTTTTATCATCTTGATAGTTTGGTAATCGATCACATGCAACAATTGAGAGAATATTATTAATTCATTGAATTGAATGAGCAATATTTACAATGCACTTGTCAGTCAGATGATGACAAATATAATGTAACATATGAGTAACCCTTAATATATTTGTAGTAATAATCTTCTCGTTTAATCTTGTGCCTATTTCAAAGAAGTTTTTATATCACTGAGCTTATGAAATTCAAATTTCAAAAATCAGTAATTCTTTCTTAAAAAAACCTCAACTTAATCAATAAATAATTGTTTTTTAAGCAGACTGCAGATCAGACGATTTTTATATGAACTTGGTAGGTTATGGAGTAGTATTTGTCTCAGAAAGAGAAAGTTTTCATTTGTGTGAACACTTTCATTTTTCACGCCATATTGATGCACGAAACGTTTTTCTTGAGAGACTCATTAAAGAGAAAACGATGGTAATCAGTGTGTTTTCTAAAATTAGCCTTTTCACAATCGTTTATTATCATATGAAAATCGACTAATAGAAGTACCTTCATAATTCGACATTGATTTAATATTGCTAAAACAATGCTGTGGTTTATTGTTTTTTCTGATACATTTTAATCGAAATGCAATAGATGACTACGATTTTCATTCTTCAATAAACAGAACCCAGAACCATTGAAATGTTGAAATATAATTAATCATTATTTCGTCCATAACGTGAATTCTTGGTGGTAATTTTTGAAAAGAATATTTTGAGGATATTTTCACTTCGCTTTAGACTTAAAATACAAATGCACAATAGAAAAATTTCCTCCTGTGTTATAAATAAGTTCGACATTCATAGCGAGCTCCCTTCGATAGTTATGAAGACTTTTCTGAGATCCTCGAGTTCAGTCTAATGGAGTTGAATCACTCGGAAAATCTCTTCGATAGGGTTTAGTCACTGTTTTGAAACTGCACAATCTCGTTCTATGCAACAAAGGGATCGATATTTTCGAAATTTTGAGATAACAGTGTCTGATCAGCTCAAACTTGAAAACAGCACATCTCTATTCGACAGAATATCATATAAATAAGAAACACAACATGCAACAAATAATGGCCTAGTGTAAATCGAAATAGAAGACGTTTGCATACCGATTTATTGATTGATGATCAATCAAATTTCAATACACTTCAACGGTGTCAGATTTTCTCTCTTGAATTGTAAAAACCGCAGATCCCTATGTTTTTCCAGCAGAAGCTGTGCAAAAGGCAAGAAAGTGTATTTTTTAAATTGGATACAAGAAACAATAAAGGAGTATAAAGAATAACATTATTTGTTTTGATTTTCCTAGTGATTTTACAGCATAAATGTATTCTTTTCACAAATTAATTTCCATTTTAATTTAACCTTTGAGTATTTTATTTTTCTTGTTGTTTTACAAAACTTTTCTCTGGCTATAAATGAGTTCAGAAAAACTATATTTCATCAGCATTGCAATAAATCAGTTCTTTTTCAGTTTTCCATATTCTTACGGGTTTTTAATACCTGCAAACTCGAAGAAATCAGAATGAAATGTTAAATATCAGCTCCTGACATCAGAGGACTTATACTTGTAGAAATATCTAAAAAAAATCAGGAATTCTAGATCAATTCCGAAGATTGGAATAAGTCTGAATTTGTCTACACAAGAACATTCCTAATTTATATACAATTTTTTTCAATGATTCTCGGTATACTTTGCTTCCTTAAAACATTTTCTTGATGATAAGTGCTTGTGTCTAGGATTTCCAGTATTTTTTTGTTGTTTCAATCGATGATTCACAGTTTAGTCGTTCTAATATAGTTTCTTCAGCGCCTGGGAACAATATGGTCAATAACCCAATCATCCGCCCACTAAAACCATCGGAATCTGCTGTCGAAACGATGCAAGATGTGGCAGTTAATAAGTCGACGATCTCTCCCAAACTCAGTACTACTGAACAAGAAAAGGATTCGGCTCTCCATGTTTCGTCTATTAACGCTGGGCATCCAGCGTGCCAATCTCACGCAGGTTAGTGAACAGGAATTTTTTTCTTTTAAGAGACATTTTAAATAAAAAAATGCCACTTTATTTCATCATTTTTCAATACCAAAAAATAAAAGATAGAGCGTTTTTGTTCTAATCAACTAAATATCAGAGAAGTACAAAAAATGATAATTTTAGTTTTTAATAAATGAAGAATGTATAACTGTGTAACTATTCAATTAGTATTCGTAGATAAAAGTTGGCTTGATTGCCAGTTTCATGCTGATGGCAAATCAATAAAGAAGCTTGATGAAATTGAAAATGAAATGGATGAACCAAATGATATAATCGATAAAAATATTTTGGATCGTATTCAAGGTTCAATGGAAGGAATGGCTTTGGGTGATGCTCTTGGTGCTCCCGTAAAATGGCAATCGCGTGAATATTTAGCTCATCATCCAGTAACTGATCTCCAATCAGGAGGAACTTCGAGCCTTATGAAAGGACAGGTATAATGTTTTTCCGTATTAATTTATAATGAAAAAGTTCAAGAGGTCTTTAGAAAAGTTTTTCTTAGCAAGATGACATTCTTTGAAACATTGTTTTCATGTGTTGGGGATAAAAACTCTACGATATTGATAACGTGATAGTACTGAAGAAATTGTTGAAATTAAATAATCGTTTGTAAAGCATCGTTAATGTGCAACAATTGGTCAAATATTATCATTTTGACTTCACTAGAATGACTTATCAACTTGGTTTAAATAATTGTAGCAAATCAATAACAAAGCTGTCTATTAGGATTCCTAAGAAAAGCCTCTGGCATCAAAATAATTCTTCAATAACTTACAGATATCTGCCTTGAATGTTAGAGAAATAACATTAGTTTATCTGCTAGGAGTTTAAAAAAGAAACGTTTTTTTAAATAAAGATACTTAAAATAAATGATATGTTTTATTCATCCTCTGCTACCAATTTTTTTGTCAACGGAGAAATTCATTGAGTAAAAATTAATTTTCCCTCTGGTATGACCGCCTGGAGAAAAAAGCTCAAGACAAAATGGAAGATTCAGCTCTGTAGATGTATTAATCAAGTCAACATGTTTCTTATTTTGAAAACATTGTTTCTATTTTTAATCCATTTCTTGTCATAATTCTTCGAAAGAAAACATTTGAATATATTGAGTCTATAATATCCGTTATTCTGCTCATCGAAATCTACGCGTGTAGAAAATTTTAGAACTCTTTGTTCATCTATTCTGAAAAAAAAGTCCAAAAGCATGTACAGAAAATATTCTCAAAAAGGTTTCAATATGAGACTTTCTTTTTCTTTCCAATGCACTGGTTCAACATTGAAAAGAAACACTTTGTTTAACTTCTTAGATAGTTCAAATCGAAATGTCAAGCCCAATATATTTTAGCGCAAAAATGATTTAGATAATAAGTACACATTGTTAATAGAATTTTCAAAAAAATGACTGTTGAAACTTTTTCGCAAATAAAATTTTCGCAAAAATTTTCAGTGATTTAGGACAAAAATAAAATTGTTCACTATTTTATAAAATATTATTTTCCTCTGAATAGTTTGTTTCAATAAAGCTTTACGTGAAAAAAAACATAAATGAAGTAAACATCAAAAACCACATTTTAACAATCAATGACCATTTGAAAATATCATATGCTTCACTATTTTTTGAATTAACCTAGACTGTTCAAAACTATTGAGATAGAGACGTTCTTGTTTGATAGAGCATGCTCAGGAACATCTATCTATGTAAAATTTATTATTGTGATCGCTTTTTTAATAGATTTCACAGTGACCTACACTCACACTATACTCAAGCGTATACCTAGGCAGTTCTAAATTTATCAGAAAATTGTCAACAATCTCTTTTAAATAAATAACACTAGGGTCCTAAAATTTCGCGATGGATATAAGACTTCTCCGATCACTCTTTAGTGTAGTTTGAGTATAGATCACTGTAAAAACTAAATTAACGAAACATCAATAAAATCAATGAATTTTCCGAATAAAGGCGTCACTGGGCTTGCTCTAGCAGCGACCAAACTTGAATCCTAGAGAACTTTGAACGTTCGAGAATTATTCAAAAACAACAATGAAGTATATCATATTGTCACAAAAGAAATAGTATGATTAAAAATTTTCACATTATATCGTCAACCTAAAAAATATTAATGGAATGATTTTGTGTATCGGGGTAGATAACACTACTAAAGAAATAAAGGAAATTGGCAGCTGTCCCACTATCCCTATCAATGAAAATCAAAAATTCAAAGTATTGACAAAGTCGACTGTTCCCCTTCCATCTCAAAAAAGTTGATTGTAGGGTGTACTGTGTTATTTTTTCAAGAGATTCGGCCATTTTCTTCTACTTAAGTATAAAGAACGTGAGAAGCTTATTTTGACATTTGTAAACTCATCCTGGTCGCTTGCCAAGAACTTGATATGTGTAATAATGAGTCTTGCGAAAAGCTTTTGATCCATATAGGACGTATCAATGTTTCTTTCTATTTTGGTGGAACAACATCGTTTTAATGTAAAAAAAAATGTGATGAGACTTTTGATCAGTATTCTTCAGAACGATTAAGAATTGAAAGTTGAAATTTGCAGTATTCGTTTTATATTCATCCGTTTAGTTTTGTCGATAATCACCTAAAAACTAAAAACGAGTAAAGCGAAAAGTTTAGAGAGGAATACACACTTTGAGATCTGATGTTTTTAATTTTGATTCGATTAAAAATATTACATGTTTCTTTCAAATTACATCTTTTTTCATTTTCTTCGATCTATTTTTAATCTATAGTTGATTAAGGCTTCATTTAATTTTTTTTGCTATGAAAAAAACTGGCTGACCCCGTGACGGAACAGTTTTTACTAAATCTGCGAGCAACTTCAAACTGTATAAAATCAAGCGTCGTTATTAGAAAAAGAAACAGATTAAGTTATTTCCGTTGAGCATATTTATGCGGAATTTCAATAAACTCAACAAAATTTGCATACGTTCTAGCGATAGACAATAGCTAGATGACTGACTTTAGCAGTCAAAGTAGTCAAATCAGTGAAGGATGGTTACTGGAACAATTATTGAGTGCAGTTGAGAATTGCACAAATTATCAGTTTAGCAATTTTGTAAATTGAAATTATGAAAATTGTTTGTAATCGTCTTACATATGTTTCAGTTGACCAATGCTACTTCAACAGCATTGTGTTTGGCGAATTCATTGATATCTCGCCGTAGTTTTAGTCTTTATGATCAATTGGTTCGTTACAAATGGTGGTTTAAATCAGGATACATGTCATCAACTGGAAAGTGTATTGGCATTAGAGAATCTACCAAAGAATCACTGTGTGAATTTGAACGTCGTCAACAAAGATATGCCAATGAATGGGGAATTTCAATGAAAGATATGGATTATCTTTCTGATCCTGGACTACTAAAACAATTTAATACGTGTTGCATTAAAGACGAAGTAGCAGACAATGATGCTCTTGTGCGTCTAGCGCCTGTGCCACTCTTTTTCTATAGATTTCCTCAAGCAGGTGTTGAATATTCGGGTCGAAGTGGACAAATCACTCATGGAGATAAAATAGTATACGATGCATGTCGTTACTATGGTGCTTTGATTGTTGCTGCTCTGCATGGTTCTACAAAAGAACAATTACTCGATAATCAATTTTACTTGAAGAACAAATCTTGGTTTAGTGACATAGAACTTCATCGTGATGTAGAGTCCGTTGCTAAAGGATCGTATAAAAGAAATGGCTACGATGCCGGTATTCGAGGTAAAGATCATATTGTGAGTGCACTAGAAGCTGCGCTATGGGCATTTTGGTCCGATGACGGCTCATTTGAGAAAGGCGTTCTGGCTGCTGTTAATCTTGGTGATGATACAAATACCACAGCTGCTATATATGGACAATTAGCTGGTGCTTATTATGGTTATCGGGCATTACCTGCACGTTGGTTGAAGAGTGTTCATGCGAAAACCTTTATTGAAAAACTAAGCAAATGGATTGCAGTGGAGGGAGAAAGTTGTCAGAAACGATATGAAGCCTTTCTCTCTCGATCATCGAAAAGTAATAGTTGAAAATATCTTCGAACCATTTAAGCAATTTTTAATGATTTTTTATGTCTTAGTAAGAAACAAGGTTGTAAGCATGGTGTCTTTAGGACTGAAATATTGAAATGGCATATTTACAATAAAATATAATGTATTACCATCAGTTGTATCTTGAAGTGACAAAAGTCGAGAGAATTTTATGATTTTTTGGAAAAGTTTTAAAAATATTTTTAGAAAAGAAAAAGAAAACTTTTGAATTATCTGGTAAAAGAACAAAGTTTTTTTATATTGATAGAGAAGCAGGCAAGATAGTGTGACTTCTTCTGGAAACATCCCTGCTAACCCCATTGAAATCTTTTCGTCTAAAGTCGGTAATTGAGAAGTGTCTGTATTGAGGGAGGGTGTGGGGTGTGAGTTATTTCTCTTAAATTACTCACACCCAACTTTTCGCGACCTTTCAAATGATTCACCTTATTCAAAACGAAGACTTTTTAATATTTCGCTTTCTACTTACGTTAGTTAGGCCGTTTTTTTTAAATGTCTCTTAAGAAAATACAAGCTTTGTGTATCAAAATGGGACGAATCACAAAAATAATTGTTAAGCGAAAGTCAATGTATTCAAGCGATACAGCATGTCTTATTGTACGGTTTCATCATGTATGAGTTGTTTGAACTTTTCGGACAACCTAATAGGCTTTTCTTGATAAAATCGAATACGTCCATTGTATTTCCTGTTACTTCTATTTTTGGTTCACCACCAATATCCTTCGCCCATACTTCATGGTAAGCGACATCCATACAATAAACAATAATGGGTATTTCCGATTTGATTTTTCTGCGTTCAAGGGCAAAATCTTTTCCATTAGTAGATCCACTTGTATCCACGACACCGTATATGGACATCTTACATTTTAATAAGTTCAATGCTTCATTTGTTGTTTCGCTAGCATATAAGGTATGAAAAAAAAGTTCACAGAACTTTTGTAATCGATATATCTCTGCAACCACTCAAGTAATTTCAAAAAGCAAATAGTCATTGTAAAGAGCATTTGAAACTGTAC